GGGGGGGGGGGGGGCACATGCCCCCCTGCCATGTCTCCTCTATGCGGTGCCTAAGCCTTACCATAACCATCAGCTTTTACGTGGGTTGTGATTACTGATAGGCTACAGATTAACTCCATTTATGGTGTACTTTCAGCCCAACAATATAAAGTTTTTTCTGTTAATGTCAATGTTGAAGTGACTAAACCCTAATAAAATTACAGTTTTAGACTGTCTTAGACCTCCCCTGTCTTACAGGATTACAGTCTTAGACCTTCTTTGCTGGTCAGTCCTTCAGGGGAGAGCAGATCAAGGACACGTTTGGCGATGCTGCCAGTCTTTGTACTGTTCCCTACACTCCAAACTTGCTAGGAGAGTTCAGTCACAAAACTGTGTCCTGCATCTGGCCTGAGAAGGCAGAATTCCTCTAGGCACAGCTCATCTTCAGTTCTCAGTTCCTGGGGGAGTTGAGATGGCTTTACTTTATTTGCAAACTTCGCAAACTTCAAGGGTGTCCAGGCTGGTTTGTTCCTTTTTCCACACTTACGGTTTTTTCCTCTAATTGTTGGCTTTTCAGTGCTAGCCCACCTTACTTCCAGGTTTTCATATCAGTCAAAGTTACAATACAGACCACATAACTGAAGGCAAAATGGTGTGAAACCAGCAAATTCATCAATTTTATTGTGCATTAAAATGAAATATAGCCCAGTTTCCCCTTTCCTTTATCCCCACTTTTAGACTTTTTACCAAGCTTTTGATGTTTTCAGCAAAGCTAGGGAGCCTGTTCTGCATTTTCAAACTACTTAAAGATCACCAGGGATCCTGGTTTTCTGTGTTTAAAAATCATAAATTATTTGATAAAAATGGAACTTCTCTGATTAAAAACCCCAAACTCCACATTTTTCCATGATTAAAGTGAAACGCCACTGTATGTGTAGGTATCAGTTGAACACAATATTTTATTGATATATTTACAATTTTAAGGGAGTTTGGAAGCCTACCAATGTCTCAATCATTACAATAAAAAAAATTCTAAATACCTATAAATTTTGGCATTTGATTTTGGGCTTTTTATCATGGAAAATCAGAGCTCTCTTTGACTTCTTTGCTTACCAGGACATGGGTCCAGCTGTGGCTGTCCCCCACCCCACTGCTTTGTGGGGCTGAGCAGCCCTAATCACCAGGTGCCCTGCCCATGCCATTGCATCTCATTCCCAACCCACAGCCCCCCAGCACTACTGGTGCTCCTCACTCCCCAGCCACAGGCCCCTGGTTCCCCTTGCTACCCACCCACAGCCCTGTGGCCCTGCTCATGCCCTTCACTCCCCATCCACAGCCCCCCAGTCCTGCCAGTGCCCCTGACTCCCCACCTACAGCCCCCCACGCCCTTCAGCCCTGCCAGAGGAGGTCCCCAGCTGCCATGGCTATGGGACCAGGGACCCAGGTCTGCAGCCCCCTACCCCCAAAGCAGCACTTGAGCCCCAAGCCACGCATGAGAGGTGAAGGCCGTTGTGTCACAGCAGAGCATAGAGCTGCAGCATGGCCAAAGCAGAGTCCGTGGCGGGGCAGATGTGGGCTGCCAGCTGTGGGCTCAGGCTCCCTGCCCTGCTGCCCTCTTCCTGGAGCTTCCATGACACAGCAGGCAGGACCCAGTGCAACAGGGCAGAGCAGGGCTGAGCAGGGAAGTTCGGTGCCATGGCCACAAGCCTTACACTGCCATGGCTAGGCACCCCGTATCCACTCAGCAGCAGTGAGGGGCACAGCTCTGTGCCGCCACCCCCCACTGCTGCTGGGTGGGCAAGGCATGCCTCGCCATGGCAGCGTGGGGCTCACCTCAGTGGCACCAAGCTTCCCTGCCCTGCTCTGCCCTGCCACATAGAGTCTCACCCGCTGAGCAGGGAGGGCAGCAGTGTGAGTGCCGATACGTTCTGGGGAGGCAGATCACTGGTACACTTACAGCACGTAACAGGCGGGTTCTCTGAACTCTGGTTTTGAAGTTTCATTTTAATGTACCTGAGCATGCACACAGGAGAAATGTTTTGTAAGAAGTTTTATTTTGGTGACCCTGTAATATATATAATATTAGAAATGTTATTTGATGACCAACTGTCCTGTTGTACTAGATTCACTAGGGATGCATAACGTCTGCGCCGGCATCTGTGCTTGAGAACGTCATGAGGCGAGAATTTCCAATAAATGTTAGTTTGGTAATAACCAGTAAAGTGATGAATTTTGTCCTTTATCGGATCCTAAACACTGAATATATCTCTCTACTGTATGCAGTGATTTTTCATCTTTAACATGTTTTCATACTTCAGGATGGAAGAGACCGTGAGAAATCTACTGCAGAACCAGGGACCCACAGACCAGAATGGGGAGAGGACTGTTGATATCATGAAGGTATATCAGGTATGGGTGGCTTTTTTATTGTTTGCTTGTGACAAAACTCACCCCCCCCCCCCCAAAACCCCC